ACTAATTCATCACCTAAGGCAACAGAAACAAAGGAGAAAATGAACACATGGGACTACATCAAACTAAAAAGCTTCTGCACAGCGAAAGAAACAATCATCAAAATGGAAAGGGAACCCACCATATGGGAGATCATAATTGCCAATGATGCATCAGATAAGGGATTTTTAAAATATATAGAGTGCTCATACAACTCAACAAAATGAAGACAAAAAAACAATTAAAAAATGGGCAGAGGAGCTAAATAGACACCTCTCCAAACAGGACATACAAATGGCCAAGAGAATATGAAGAAATGCTCAACATCACTAATCATCAGAGAGATGCAAATTAAAACAACTATGAGGTATCACTTCACACCTGTCAGAATGGCCACCATCAACAAATCATCAAACAATTATTGGTGAAAGTGTGGACAAAAGGGGACTCTAGTGCACTTCTGGTGGGAATGCAGACTGGTGCAGCCACTATGGAAAACCCTATGGTGTTACCTCAAAAAGCTGAAAATTGAACTGCCATTTGACCCAGTGATCCCACTTCTAGGAATATACTCTAAGAAGCCTGAAACACCAATCAGAAATAATATATGTATGCCTATATTCACAACAGCACTATTTACAATAGCTAAGATCTGGAAACAACCTAAGTGTCCATCAGTAGATGAGTGGATAAAAAAGCTGTGATACATGTACACAGTGGAATACTATGCAGCTTAAAGAAAGATCTCTTGAATTTGAGATAACATGGAGGGACCTGAAGAATGTTATGCTAAGCGAAATAAGCCAAGCAGAGAAAAACAAATATCACATGATCTCACTTTATTTGTGGAATATAATGAACTAAACAAACTGATAAACAAAATTGACCGAGAGACATAGAGGTGGGGTACAAACTGTCAGTCAAGAGGGGATGTTGGGGAGGAGATAAACCACAGAACTTATATGCACGTATGTATAACCAATGGACATAGACAACAAAGCTGGGGAGGGTGTGGAGGGGACGGGAAGGAGTATGTCAATGGGGGAAAAAGGAGAAACATCTGTAATAAAAACAAATTAATAATAAAAAAAAAAGAAAAGTATCTTGACAACAGATGATAAAATTGAAGATGCACATCTTCCACAGCCCAGCAATCCCTCTTCTGGATACAAACCCAGAGAATACCTTATACATGTGGATAAGGATATACAGCCAAAGAACATCTCATACATGTAGATGAGGATGTACAGCCAGAGAACGTCTCATACATGTGGATAAGGATATACAGCCAAAGAACATTTCATACATGTATGTAGATGAGGCTATACGGCCAGAGAACGTCTCATACATGTAGATAAGGATATACATCCAGAGAATATCTCATACATGTGGATGAAGATATACAGTCAGAGAACACCTCATACATGTGGATGAGGATATACAGTGAGAGAGCACCTCATACATGTGGATAAGGATATACAGTCAGAGAACACCTCATACATGTGGATGAGGATATACAGCCAGAATGCCTCATACATGTGGATAAGGATATACAGTCAGAGAACATCTCATATATGTGGATAAGGAGTCATTTATAAGACTGTTCACTGAAGCACTGTTTGTAATACAAAAAAATTTGGAAACTGTACTGTCCATCTGTCCTAGATAAACTATGGATTGATCATTTTTCTTGTAATAGAATGCCACTAAAAAGTTAAAAATAATAAATTATAGATACACATATAAAAATGTTGATTAAAAAAGGGAGTTTCAAAAAGATAAATACAGTATACTTTTTATATAAATGTTAAATATACATAGTAAAATAGCTGTATACAAATGTAAGTAAAAATATAAACACATGCAGGGAAATGTTGACATCACCTTCAGGATAATGATTTACTTTGGTGGAGGGAAAAAGAGGACAGGATTTGGGCATGGTTAATTATATATATATATATATATATATTTTTATAAAGGAGATATTTGAAGGCAATATGGCAGGATATTACTACCAGGTAAATTTTGGTGGAACTGCTGATAAACTACCTTTTACATAGTTTGAATATTTTATTGATAAGGGTTTTTAAAATGAGAGCTATGTCCTAAGACAACTCAAACAAAAGCAAAGCAGAAGAGATGGCATGGGTGTTGATCCTGAACAGATGTCCAAAGAGAGTCACAGTCAGCATATGGACTTTAGACAAGTCATTTAATCCTTCAACCTGTTCCTCTCATCTCAGGTTCCTGGAGTAAGTTAGCACAACTAAGCTGTAAATTTACATGTGAAACCCACTGTCAGTCAAGGCAAAAAGGCAAACACATTTTTTAAAAAAAATCTCATTATTGAATAAAAAGGAAACACAAATTCAACTGAAAATAGAGATTATTTTTATGCCATTGAATTTTTGTGAGTATTGGAAGACAATTCTCCATGGATATCTCTTATTCCTATACAGATTAGATCTTCTGAGCAAAGGACATGGTTGAATAGCAAATAGTTTTGGGAGAAAGTATATTCCTTTGGAGAGGTCTAGTGATGTACTTCACAAGACATGTCACGGGGCACTAAAAATAAAGCCCTCTCCTTCCCCTCCAGAGACATTTGCTTCTCTCTCCTTCTCCCTCTCTTCTCCTTCTCTCTCCACCTCCCCACCCAAGCTGGGTCGACTCACCAGCAACCTTATAAAAAGCTGAATCTCCTAATTTCAGGGTTCCTCTCCTGTGGCACAGCTTACTATGTACGCACAGAGGTAGCATCTGGCTCCCATAACATTGCCCTGTGGTAACTGCGGTGTAAAAGATTGACACAGATATTGCTCTGCTTACTGCTTTTGCTGTGAATAATAAACAATCTGTGTCTCTGCCACCAGGGTCTTATGTTTCTGTCAGTGTGTGTGTGTGTGTGTGTGTGTGTGTGTGTGTGTATTTGTATAACTGGCAGGCGAACTTGTAAATAACGTAAAAATCTCAGATCCTTCACAGCAAAGAGGAACAAAAAAGAAAGACACTGATGCCCTGGATGGTTTTGCTCAGTGGCTAGAGCGTCAGCCTGTGGTCCAGAGAGACCCGGGTTGATAGGTTCCCACTAAGGGCACGTACCTCAGTTGAAGTTTGTCCCCGGCCCTGGTTGGGTCATGCGGATGGCAACCACTCAATGTGTCCCTTTAACGTCGATGTTTCTCTCTCTTTCTCCCTCCCACTCTATCTGAACAAAAAACAAAAACAAAAAATGTCCTCGGGTGAGGATAAGAAAGAAGGAAGGAAGGAAAGAAGGAAGGAAGGAAGGAAGGAAGGAAGGAAGGAAGGAAGGAAGGAAGGAAGGAAAGAAAGAAAGAAAGAAAGAAAGAAAGAAAGAAAGAAAGAAAGAAAGAAAGAAAGAAAGAAAGAAAGAAAGAAAGAAAGACATTGAGTAATGGACAGTGTCTTTAAACATGATTAAATAATAAAGACAGAAATAGTCTTCAAAGGACACTTCTTACATCAATCCTCTATAAAAACTACGAGTCTAACAATGTAAGGAAAAAACTGTCAAGGCAAAACGAGATTCAGACAGATATTTCAGTGGGAATTTAAAATAATATGGGTCAGCTATGTTTCTTTTTGATGATCTGAAGATGCAGAATAAGATTTATTAGTGCTTAGAGAATCCAGTGATTAACAAACTCTGGCCATTTTTTACTTTCTCAAACATCAGATATTATGAGAGAGCCTTTTATAAATGCTGTCTCAGACAGTTCATAGTTTAAATATCTGATGATTTCTGGAAATGTCAAAATCTCTGATTAGAGGGATTCCTGTATAATGAATATTTTGTTCATTTTAGTCATCTCATCCATCATCTATTTTCTCATCTCAAAACAACCCAGAATTTTGTTTGAGGATTCATCCTTTCCCATTCTCAGGTCATGTACTCCGGATGAAGTTCCCAGCCCTGGTCTAGGAACGCAGCAGGTAGCTGAGTCTGAGGCCAATCAGTGATTCCCACTTCTCTGGTCTAGAGGTCAGCCATTCTCTAAGAGTGAACCTCAGGTCTTGGCCAGGAATGCTGGGTCAAGGACTCTCCTTTTCTGCTATAATTCAGCCTGAAGGATGAAGCCCTGGAACAGCTGTAAATCATCATGTGACCATGAGAGAAATGTCAGTCTAGGAATGGAGTCAACACAGGGAAAACAGAGCCAGGCGGCGGAGAGAAACGAGATCCTGAAGGCATCATTTGAGTACCTGTATCCAGCTATGCCTGAAACCTTATCAACTCTGTATTGTTCATCTACATGAACTAATACATCTCCTTTTTGGCTTATCTCAGTTTGAGCCAGGTTTTGTCTCCCTTGAACAAAAGAGATAAAATTGATTCACTCTGGGGATTAGATGCCAGATTTGCAAGACTCCAAATCTTTTGTAACAAACATTTAGAATGCTTTAAATAATGTCCGGATTGAAAAACCCAGAGTTCTGTGACATAAAGTTTAGGGGAAAAAAATTGAGGCCCAACAACAGAGTTTTAAGAACTGTTATCCTTTAACAGAACCTCAATGAAACAATGTAGAACATATAATTTGAAATATACCTGGATGTTGATAGGTCTATCAAAATGAGTTTATAGTTAATTATACTCAATGTGTTATGTCAATCAAAGATTAACTTGGAAACATAGGTTATGGGGGAAATGGAACAAAACACAATCATTTTTAAGGTTTGTTGTAGGATTTTAGGTTTTGTCATAAGTAGTAATTTGTATGCTTATATTTAAGATGAACCATTTGTAACTGAGTTTTATATAGTTCAATTAAATAACAAAGTAAAAAGAAGTCCACATTACTTCCTCTTTCAGATTTATTTAAAACCAGAGAATATACTGTCTTGAAAAAGGGCTCAACTATTCATTTCTCTTATCCAGCTATTCTTGTTTTACACGTAGAACCACCAAATGTGCTACATTTTTCATTTTTCAAATCTTGCCATTTCAAAACAGTTTCTATAAAAAGGATCCATATCTTGTGCAAATGAAACACTCACTTACCTGCATGTTATAGAGGGGCTGCTTTGGTGCATTAACGTCCCTCAGCAGGCGATGAGATATGCCCCTTAACTCTAAAAGTCTACAAACCAGCTGAGGGTGCAGAAGATTGGCCACTGACTTGGAGGATCTGGATATGCCGTTTAATCCTTGAATTAAAGTTCCTCGGTTGATCTTGGCTAAAGCCACAGCCATTCTGATTTTAGATGGTTTTTGCATGGCTTCCTTTTTCTGAAAAATAAGCCTTTCAAAAGTGACTGATGTTTGATTCTCCAGAGAATTATTAAAATCTACTTTAGGCAGAGACTAAATACCACATAATTACACATTGTGCATGGTCCCATGCATACACTCAGTGTTTAATAATTATATCCCACCCTCCATACAACTCATTGACCCCACTATGTACTTAAATCTTTATATGAATATATAAATTTTTCCTTAGGATAACTATCCAGAATTTCAGTTACTAGTGTAAAGATATAAATTTTTCATTTTTCTCTCTAAGTTTATTTATTTTTTGCATTGATTTTTAAGAGCTCTTTCAAAAGTAAATAATTCCTATTTAAACATTATTCAGTGTTTGAATTATTCAACCAATAAGTCTTATTCAAAAGTTACAAATATTTTCCCAGTTTACTTTAAAATTTTTAAATGATAAAATGTAGTATACATACATAATGCATAAAGCAAATATCCTATATACTAATCAACAAGCTTAGGAAACTTTTACTTCTAAAAACTTCAAAACTTCTATGAGCATTCCGATAGAAAAAAATTTGTGACATTACCAAAACACATAAAACGTAGTTCTTTGTCTGCTGTACCAGAAAATGAACCACGGGGGAATTACTTACGATGTGGTCAGACCGCATTCCAGGCAACAGACAAGTATAGTTTCCATTAGTCTTTTAAGTAATGTCATGGGCATTTCTGGCTTTTTAGTATAAGCAACTTTTAATCTCTATTTACTGAATCAAAATATATAAGTATAAAACATCTTTTAAATGGATTTTTGGGCTACAATGAACATTATATATTTGTCTAGGGGCTAACATGCTGTATATTTAAAATGCCTCAACTTTTATCTTGAAGTAATTTTATTATTGTTTTTATCCTCAAAGGTCAGTCTTCTCTTGTTGGTCAGCATTTGCCACAGGAGATAGATAAAAGCTGTTCAAGCCTGTCACTGAGGATGCATTTCTGCAGCATCTGGTGTCCTATTGTGTGGTTAGATCTGTTAACTTGATTGAAAAAGTCCCATTAGCTCACCTGTGGCGTTGACCCTGCTAGTCAATACAACAGCAGAAAGTGCGATCTAAATTGTGGGCTGCTACAATTCCAAGCCATTTTAGCACAGAGCAATGCTTACAAGCAGTTTCATGGTAGACAGAGCAAGCAAAATAACTCGAGGTGCCATCGCTTCATAGTATCTGCTCCAGTTTCACAGCATACTCATACCCAGAGGAAAACCACATTGTCTGCAGTACACATGGATTCAATTCCTCTTGTGATCTATGCTTTGCTTCTTTCAGGGCCCAGGACAGGCCATCCCCAAATATTCCACAATGGTATATTATTTACTTTGAATTTAAGTGACTTAAGAAACTGCTAGTGCAAGAAGAACTCCTCTTCTCTCTCTTTCTGTCTCTCTCTCCCGACCCTCCTTCCCTCCCTCCCTCCCTGAGAGCAGGAGGTAAATCTCCTATGTGAAAGGTTCTATCCCTGCACCTGGAGTCTAATGAGAGAGACATCCTTGTCACCAGAGTTGGGGGTTAGAATTTCTTTTCTGACATTTAGAGATGTGCTTAGAGGAAGAAAATGTCAAAAAGAATCATCTAAACCTGCATCCTTTGCAACAATTAGAGGATGCTTATTTATGCCAAGGGAAATTCAAGGTTGAGAAATATATGTATTAAAAAAACCTTGCCATTTTCTTACTAATTTACTACCCAAGCCCAAACTTTGCTTAGATTTCTCACTAATGAGAACCCAAATCTAAGTTCCTTCATTCTGGTAAGTTCATTCATTCTTTGCCTAAAGGTGTAAACAGCTGTCTCCATCGATCATTTCTCTGAGTATCACTTATGATCTGTATGAATGCATTAAATTTGTTTTTCTCCTGTTATCTGGTCTTGTGCCAGTTTTATTATTAGTGCAGCCATAAGAACTCGAGAGGGGTAGAGGAAGGAATTTCCCTTTCCCCACTCTGCGCTGATTCTCCTCCCAGCTCCTCCTCAAGGGGGAGCAGCTAGAATAAGTTTGGTTTTGCTTCTGATTACAATTGATTGTGCTTTGTTTCATTACAATTTATAATCATTAAGGTGAGGGCCATAGTGCCAGGCAAACAGGACCAAGTTATGTGCAGTTCCACCTTCACTGAAACGTCCCCTATGTGGTCATTCAGCGTTTTAGAAATCCTTCATTTTTGCAGTTGCAAAACATTAATATTCTCAGTTTTCCTCTCCTTATTTTATGTTTCTTTATAAAATATTGGTGATCTGTACATGTTGACCTAGATTCATTGACTTTATAACATGTATTTCTATTAATTAATTTTGACTAACTCCCCCAAATACTATACTAAATTGATCCATTCAACTTTCCCCTCTTTTACAAAAATTGTCTTTCTAAATTTTTATCTCTGCAGAAAAATAAGCTTGTGTAATTGACAATCTGTTAATCAAAACTCTCCTATAGGGTTCACATAATTTGTATTGAGCAAAATATAGCATTTATTATATACAATATTTTTTAAAAATTCAAGTGCATATTACAATAATGCTTTAGTGCACTTTTTATTATCTTTCTCATTTTAGTCTCATCACTAATTTGTAGCTTTTTCCAAGAAACATAACCTGTTTTTGATACTTTCTTAGATACCTCCAAAAGAATTACTTCTGACAACAAAAAGTTTCTGACCACATTCCCTTTCCGACACAAAACACAGAATCAACTTGTTCCCAAGAAGACTATTTGTGCTTTTAAGAACAGTATTAGACACTAAACCCAGGCACCAGGAGCATGTTCAGTGGTTCCTCTGGTCTCTGGGATCATGAAGTGACAGCAGAGAATAGGCTACTTACATTCTTTTAGATGCAGAATGAGACATTCTTCTTTTTTAAAAAACAAAACAAAACAAACAACCCTGGTTGATTTTTCTCAGTGGTTAGAGCCTTGGCTCTCAGTCCGAAGGGTCTCGGGTTCAATTCCAGTCAGGGGCATGTACCTGGGTTGCAGGTCTGATCCAAGCCTGGTCGTGCGGGAGGCAACAAATTGATGTGTCTCTCTCACATCCATGCTTCTCTCTCTCTCCCTCCTTCCTTTCCACTCTATCTAAAGACTCAATGGAAGAATATTGGCAGGTGAGGATTAACAAAAACAAAAAAAAAGTCACCAGTTTAAGTTGATGGGTCCAATTATTTACTTTTTAAATGTGCCCTAATAGAAACATTTGTAAATAAAACATTTCCCCCCTTTTTTTTTTGAGCTACCAGCTTTTTTGTGTGTCTATTATAAAATATTTTCTTACTGAACCATGTGTATAAATTTAAATGTAAATGCCAAATTAAGAAGTCCTCATTTCTTTTTCCTCTATTTTTTACTCTTGGCATAAAAGTATCCTCGAATTGATTGCAAAGTACACAAGTTTAGATGCTTTGTTTTGTCATCATTATCTTCATCTGAGCGTATCTCCAAACGTCAGAAAAAAAAAATTCCAACCCCCAACCACCACCATCACCTCAGAGACTCAAAAAGGTACTTAGAGACCATTTACCAAAAGAAACTTAGCATCAATTAATCAGATTGATTAAAGAATCCTGCTCCAGATTTCTTTATTTGAGTTCCCTCTTTTCGATATCTATCCTGCTTTCCCTTTTTCTTTTCTTTTCTCTAGAGCCATGCCTATTTCTCCAACATCAGCAGTTTTAATGCTCAACTCCAATTTCTATTATGTCAGCTTTTTACTACCTATAAAGCCAGCCTGTCAGCAAATCGTATTCAGTTCTTTCTCTGCATAGCTCCATAATTTGACCACTTCTCACTGTCCCCGTACCAATACCCAGTCCATTATATTCATATACCACCATTGTGTCTTCCCCAGACTAGTAAATTAGCCTCCTCTGTGGTCTCTCTGCTTCCTCCCTTGCCTGTTTTCATTCTTTTCCTCAACACATCAGCCAGAGAGCTACAATGAAAACTTATGTCAGATCATATCTTCTTTTGCTCAACTGCTTCAGTGGCTTCCTGGTGCACTCAGGGGGAAAGCCAAAGTTCATACAATGATCTGATCTACAAGGCCCTACAAAAGCTGTCTCTTTACCTCCCCGGCCACCTCATCTGTTTTTCTCACTCTCCCTCCTCAGTATTTGTTGAACTTGTTAGGTATACTCCCACCCCAGGGACTTTGTTTGCACTAGCTGTGTCATTTGATCCTCAAGGATACAATGTTCTCTTCCTCACTTGCTTCACGTCTTAATTCAAGAATCACTTTCTCACTAAGACCTTCTAGGGTCTTAACCATCAGTTGCTCTCTCTACCCCTACTTCTTATCCCTTCTCTGCTGTATGTATTCCTTCTACTTCATATCTCTTCTCCGCTGTATGTTTTCTTTCTACTTCATATCCCTTCTCTGTTGTATGTTTTCTTCTCCTTAAGACCTACCATTAACATATTATGTTTTTCCCTTGTTTATTGTTTTTCTGCTTGACTAGACTTTAAGTTCAATTACTTTTGAAAAAAACTTAAAAGTATTACAGATGTCTCCCCCTTTCCCCCACTGACTCCCTCCCCCCCTTCCTGTTTTCCCCACACTATTGTCTGTGTCCATTAAATATGCATATATGCATGTAAGTTCTTTATCTCTTCCTGTCCCCCCATCCCCCTTCCCTCTGAGGTTTGTCAGTCTGATCCCTAATTCCATGTCTCTGGATCTTGGGACAGTGTTTTATATCCACTTGGCTTACTCATCTTTCTCCAGTGCCTAGAACAGTGTCTGGCACACCGTAGGTACTCTATAAATGCGAGTTAAAATGAATGAATAAAGAGTATCAGAAAAAATGTCACAAATTAATATTGAGAATTATAACAAATATTAAATTAGAAACCACTCAGAAAGTTTTCAGTGCAAAATGCATTTTGTAACTTTCACAATAATGATAGTGTCCTACAAAAAACAACTCACTGAAAACAAAAAAATAACTGGATTATAGAACATTTTAGCAACGGTCCTACTCTCGTTATATTTAGAAACCTTAAAATACCAACATAATTAATCTCTAGATGTTAATGGTGCATCCCCAGTAGTTTTTGTACCACATTTTTTAAGCATAGAGAATTTATTAAAGTACATCTACTGATGTAAAAATCCAAAATTTTGCATGAATTCTTGTACGTTCTGTCTATAATTTCCAATTTGTCATACAGTTAAATGCAAGATAAGTACACAATGAAACACATAATCATTTTTCATAATTATAACCCACAAAAATTGACACTGTTTACCACAAAAGACTTCTCTCATCAAGTAAAGATCATATGAATTAATTTCTTTTTTTAGTTCTCCAAATGTGTTCAAAATGAAAGGTTTATTATTTTAAGTCTTTATATCCTCATATAAAAATCATCTGCAGTTTTCAAATGTAAATCTTAAAAACTTAGTTTTTACTCGAGGAAGTAGATGCCGAGGGTACTGGGGTCTGGCTGGTTGGAAGGGAGGGAATGGAGAGTGCAGGGCTTCAGACCCACAACCTCAAGCCAAGATCTAGAGTTAACTTTCCCCGGCCCCAGAAAAAAAATGTCCTTCAAAATTTTTAGCCATGAAGAACAATGTAATAACCATTAGTTGGGTAGATTCCTCTATAAAATCTCACCATCATTTCCATCAATTTTTTTCTTGCCCCAGGCCAGCAATATTTCCTCTTACTAAACAAATGCCTAAAATAATAATTTTTAAAGTATTTAAATACTAATCACAAAACTTAGAGATTTAAAATACAATCCAATTAATAAAGCCCCTAAGTAGTCTTAAAACCATTCTTTTCAATATGTTTGGGAACTAAAGAGGATTGTGGAAATAATCAAATTTGCAGCATTTAAAATCTGACCTTTTATTTTATTATTATTATTATTATTATTATTATCAATCCTCACCCGAGGATACTCTTCCATTTATCTTCAGATAGAGTGTGTGTGTGTGTGGGGGGGGGGGTAGAGAAAGTGAGAAACATTGATGTAAGAGAGACATATAAATCGGTTGCCTCCTGCACAACTCCAATCAGGGTCCGGGACCAAACTGCAAATGGGGTACCTGCCCTTGGCCGGAATCGAACCTGGGATTCTTTGGTTCCCCAGGCCAATGCTCTAACCACTGAGCAAAACTGGCCAGGGCACAATCTGACCTTTTAAAATAATCTAATTAACAACAGAGTATTAGCATTGTTTTCTGGATAATTTATTTTTGAAGAGCAAATAACTTCAATGTGTTATCATATCCCCTAACTACTTAGGTTCCCTGCCTGAGCAACACATTTTTTATAGTAAATGGAAAAAGAACAATGTTAAGTGTTTTGAAAATGAGAAATGGAGAACCTTTAACTATGGGGTAAAGTTCTTATAAGTAAATGACTTCAGTGAGCTGGAACTAGGAAGCTAGAGTTCTTTCTTTGAGGATCAGAATATCAATCTATTTTACCAGAAAGCATGCGATGGCTCCAGTGATAACGAAGCTATGCAGAGGTAGCAAGCAATGAGGGGAGTTGTTAAAAAACCTTCAACTTCTTTGATTAAATAAAACCCCTGTTTCTCAAATATTGGCAATGGTGGAAGAATCATAACTGGAAGGGGCAATGGGGTTTTCCAGGTCTGTCTCTGGCTTCCTAGGATTCACCCAGGCTCTCTCAATAATTACTGCCACTACTGTGCTGGCTTAACCATTTTACATCCACACCTAGCATGGTTACCTGCCCATCTCTCAATACTCCAGAGCATAGCCACGAAAACTCTCCAATGTTTCAAAAGACTTTATCCCAAAACTAGGGGAATGCAAAGAGGGGAAACAAGGAGACACTAAATCTAAGATATAGTATTACAAAATCCAGTTTGCCCTCTGGAGCACTTAAGCCTGATCCTACCCTACTTAGATGACCACAATCTGGATACCATCTTACTTCTATGCATCCAGATAACTATACTTCAGGGTCACCCCTCCCCAAAGTCTAGATCCAAGACCCATGCCATTTATTTAGATTTACTTGACATTCTGGGAACATGCTGTTTCATATGTTTTGGTCTAACTGACACTGCTTCCTTTGAAATATTCTTCTCTGTTCCTACCCACTTATATACCTTATTCCTTTCTTCACCATGAAGCCCTCTCTGACCGTTCAAAATAAAATTATTCATTCCTTTAAACTGGATATGCCTCCTAGCATATTCTAATGCAATTACTTTTTTACAACTTGGTCTCCATTAGATTAAGCTCAATGACTGAAAGAATCCTATCATGTTTACCTCTGTATTCTCTCTCCTCAATCCCATGCAATGATGAAGTATTTAGTAAATGTCTGATGCCTGGGTGGCTGGATGAATGGTTAAAGGTAGCTCTAATATTCCTTTCTTCAGAATGAAATATATAGACTTTGTGATTAGTATGTCACTCAGAATGCTTTTTTTGGTTTACTTCCAGGTTTTGGCTATGTTCCTCATATTTGACATTGCCAAAAGCCAGATTTCTAGATAAGCAGATCATTGTTACTGTACCATGTTACTTTGCAATGTATTCCATTTCAACTGTGGACTGAAACAACACTTGTCCACTAAGAGCTGTGTACTTTTGAGTAAAGTAGGTGACTCCTAAACACGAAGTTACTTTTTCCTGACCACATGTTTCTTCAAATTCTCTCTTCAACCCCTCTTCCAATCCTAATATTTTCTGTCTCAAATCCTTTTTGGAACAGATGTTTAAAACACATACATATATACTTTGTTAAATTTTATATCACTGTTTTCTTTCCACATAAAACACACACCCAAACAATACTTATCTTTCCATTGTTATAAATTATGTCAATTTAGTATTATATTAATTAAAGTATAAATAGGCATTTTTTTCTGATTTTACATTAAGCAAATCTAAGTAAACTACATTGCAATTGTGGCTACAAGAGAGTTCTAGATTTCCAATCTAACAACACGATGACTGTCTTTAAACTTATCTATCTACCTCACTTCTTTGTCCCCAATCTCTCCCAATGAGTAAGAGTTGAAATTTGTTTTTCTGAAGTGAAATTAATGTTTTCATAATCTTCAAACACTGATCTGAAAATTAACCATTAAATAATTGGTATGATACTAAAAATACATTATATTTTTATAATTCTTCTCAGTTATGAAATCACATTACCTGATTAGACTGTGATAATCTTAGGATGGTAGGGAAATCGTCTTTAAACTCATCTATAAAGTCCATGATTGTTTTCTGGATCCCCTCGACTAAGACAAAAAGAAGTTAGAGAGAAAAAAAGAAAAAAACTTTAAAAACATCCCCTAACCATAATTCAAAAGAACATAGAACACTGAATCCACTGCTTAGGTGGCTGAAAAAGCAAACAAACCCTAGGGGACTTTATCCCTGGTGTCCCACACCCAAATCCCCTTTACAACAAGCTTGTGTATACTTCTTGCAGAAAAGTTCTTCAACACCTGCCCACATATCCACCCAACAGGTTTGATTGGCATGATGAGTTCTTGCTTGGGTTCCTAGTGCTTGGCAAGCTTGCAGGCCTGAGCAATGCTTGTCCCTCTCTGCCACGGGTGAGGGATGAGAGCAGCCTTCCACTCAGGAAAGCAGGGAACGACGGAACCTACAGCTTACTGCCAGAATTCTTTGTGACTGTACAATGGGCCTCTGAGAACTTGGTACAGAATCTTCTGAAACTGCTCTAGCAGTGTGAAGGAATGTTTGGAAGCACTGGGGGAGGAGAAAGGAGATTGAAAAATGAACCACTCTAAGGAATTCCACAATATAAATTGAATTTTGTTCCAATTTCTGCAGTGATACCTCAATTAATGGATCATCTGAGAACAAAGCTCCCTTTGAAATGAGTTGGCATATGTGTTAAAAGAAATGCTTCACATATGATGCCAAGTGGAAAAGAAACACCAACAGTGAATTCAGAAAGACTTCTGAAGGATTGCTTTCCCTTACCCAAGTAAGGGTCATGAGGTCCAACCCAGGCAAAATTGTGAAGTCTTTGTTTTGTCTGTCTTCTTTAAAATCTCTTCATCTTTTTCCCTCCTAATACTCTCCCATTTAGATGACCATTATTCTCCCCTTATCAAATCTGGGAAGACTGCATATCATGTACACTTGATTGACGACCTAGTTACAATTTACTGTGGATGTGTTGAGTTGGTTATCTCAAATCCCACTGTAATTTGAAGCCTTTATATTTAATTGTAGCTAAATGGTTTTCTTCAGCAAACATCGAGTGACTGCTGGAGGTCTATTAGTGGGAAGTGTTTGGAAAGAGAAATGTCCATCAGAGAGTTCCTCTACCACGTGGAGCCTGGCAGATCCCTGGCCTTCACACAGTCCGTAGTCCTAAGTACACTCCCACCACAGCATAACCACCTCTCCTAACCTTAACCTGCCTTCCTCCATCATGACCATAATGCTTAAGATAATCACACCCTTAACATTTGGAAAGTGCAATCATTGCCAGAAAGAATATCTAATTAAACCATGGTGAATGCACAAACTGGGAGGCTATAAGATGAAGCCCTTTATTTGTCCTATCAAATTACTTGGTTATTAGAGTCTTTCTCAGAGAAACACCTGGTAGTACCTTCTCTCTCTTATCTTCTTTCCTGTCCTCCACTCCCATCTACCCCCTGATTCTTTTCATCCATCTGCTCACCCCCAGTGTCCTTGCTCCCAATTGGTTTTGCCCAGTTTTATTCTCTGTTCATCACTTCTCACCCTCTTAGGCATCCTATAAAATTAAAAAATCTACAAGAAAAACATTTCTCATCCTAATATTTCCTACACTCTAAGCATAATCTGACTCTGTGCATTATGCTAATAAAGTCCTTTTTGTCTTTTCCTTCTTAATGGCTCCGGGCATGCTGGTGGTTATAAAGTAAAAAACAAAACAAAACAAACAAACAAACAAATTGAATCATTTGAAATACACTAAGGAAACTTATTCTTTAAAAGTAATCCTAGATAAAATTCTTCTGTAAGGTAAATAACCATCTTTTTAAACCAAAAATAAATACCTGCTACATATCTTATAAATACAGATTTTTCAAAGATGTTTCAAAACAGGCATATTTATAATATTTTGTTTCTTCTTAAAAATTCTTTGATAACTATATTCTACAATTTCAATTGGGGGCCATTAATATATAGTAGACCTGGAAATCTCAATGGAAATCTTCAAATGGTTATAGTAAAATGACAGGCTAGACAGGGGACAGAATTAGCAACATCAGAATCACTACCCAGCCCTAGCCGGTTTTGCTCAGTGGTTAGAGCGTCGGCCTGCAGTCCAAAGAGACCAGGGTTCAGTTCCCGCTAAGGGCATGTACCTCGGTTGCAGTTTGTCCCCGTCCCTGGTTGGGTCCTGCGGGTGGCAGCCACTCGATGTGTCCCTTTCACGTCAATGTTTCTCTCTTCCATTCTATCTGAACGAAAAAATGGAAAAATGTCCTCAGGTGAGGATAAAAAAAAAAAAAAAGAATTCTACCCACGTTTGGGAATTGCTGACATTTGGTTAGATGGTAGGAAATTGAGAAGGTCAGACTTGTTTGTTCACTGTTTTCCCCATCACAATATAAACTCCATGAGTTCAGGGACTCTGGTTGGTTCAAGGCTATATTCCTAATACTTAGCCAGTACTTCTACAATTTCACAATATTATAATAAATATTTCCTGAATAAATGTCATCAAACTTGTTACTTATGTCTCAGGAAGAATGAAATATTTTATCATTAACAAATTCATCATGGAGTCAATCAACTGATCTATAAATGCAGAACACATAAGACATTATATACATGCATGTAAATGCACACAAAATGCTTATCAAACATTAGGGGAAGAAAACGTTTTCTCCTACATATAAAGCACTACACTTTTATCAGTATAGACTTAAAATGGCTAGAAACATTGTAGACTCAATAGAAAAAAGTACCCCTAGCACCTTGACTTTGGATTTTAATATTATTCCCCACTACAATGAAACAGCACTCTTTGAAGAAATAGCATATATAAGTCAAGGGCAGAAGTACAAGGTGAACCAGAGAGATCTCAAGCCAGAAAGAAAGAAAGTTCTTTGAAGGCTAATGGGGTCCTACTAAAAGGAAACGGAAACCAGCTTGAAGGGGCTCTTACTGGCCTTCAGTGTGATGATTATGATTTAGGCTTCACAATGGAAGGATCAGGCCATCATTGTGCTAATCCAGTGGTCAGTACAGCATCACTAATTATGGGACAAATACTATATGTCTCCTAACATAATGCAATATGAAGTACATACCATCTGTGACATATCCTAGCCAAAAATGTTCCAACTTGATTTAACTTTTAGATCTATCTTCTAGTTTCCCACAAATACAGGAGATAGACAACCTAATTCAGTGCTTCTCAAGCTGTGGTAAAGAACCAATACTTTGATAAATTAAATACCATACGATCTCACTTATATGTGGAATCTAATGAACAAAATCAGCTGACGAATAAAATAGAAACGGAGACATGGACACATGGAACAGACTGACAGCTATCACAGGGGGTGGGGAACTGGATGAAAGAAGGTGAAGGGATTAGCCAAAGAACATATATGCATACCCCATGGACACAGACAACTGTGTGGTGATGGCCAGAGGGATGGGGGTGGGGCTGGGTGGAGGTGGGCAAAAGGGGTATGGGGGTGAGGATATCTGTAATAGTGTCAACAGTAAAAATAAAGTTTAAAATACTAAATTAAATACTAAAAAAGAAAGAAATGTATATAAAAATAAAGACATTATTTTGTTTATTTTTAAATATTTATGCAGTCAGATATAACTATATTTTCTTTTTAAAGCTTCTGGTTTTCCTGTTAAGGAAATTTTACCAGGCCCTAAGTTTTATAAATATATACATAGTCTCTTAAATAGTCTTCTGTTGTTTTTTAAAATTAATTTATTATTTAAAAATTTTCAATCTATGTTTCATATTTGTTGTTGTTAATCCTCACCCAAGGATATTTTTCCATTGATTTTCAGATAAGAGTGGAAGGGAAGGATGGGGGGAGAGAGGGCTAGAGAAACATCAATGTGAGAGAGACATATTGATTGTTTGCCTCCCACATGACAGGGGCCATGGATCAAAGCAATTGATCAGGTATGGGATCTTAACCAGGAATCAAATCAATAACCCTTGGTCCTCAAGCTGATGCTGTAACCGCTGAGCCAAACCGGCCAGGGCTATCTATGTTTCATTTTTAATAGGCTGTTATTTTTTTCTATCTAAACACCCAATTGTTTTAGTACTACTGGTTAAACTATTGTTTTCTCACTGATAGGAAATACCACTTTTATTTTATATATGTATACACACACACACACACACACACACACACACACACACACATACAGATATATATTGCAAACTATTTCTGAATTTTCTATTCTGGTCCACTAATCTATTGTCTATTTCTACATCATTACAATACTGATTTGACTAGAGTGGCTTTTTAGTATGCTTTATTTTCTTTTAAAGAAAGTCTCTACCACTCTTTTTTTTTATATTAGTTATAGTGTATGTTCCCTCAAAACTCACCCACCAACTAATCTTGGTTTTTCCATTAATCACTTGGATTTCAGTATCATCCAGGGGAAAATGATCATTTTATTGCTTCTTTTTCCATGTCCATACCTGTTATTTTATTATCATATTTAACTGCATTCCCTAGGACTTCCAAATCAAAGCTGAACAGTAATGTTTACAGCAGGAATGCCTATCTTGTTCCTGTTTTCAATTAAAATGGCTTTGACATTTTACTGCTTACCAAAAACTAACAGAAAATATTCTTCCAAACAACCCTTAATATATTTAGTTTCCTTCTATTACCATTCTGGTGTTACTTGTTTTTATTAGAAATGGTTGTTAAATTTTATTAACTTTCATTTCATAATCTACGAATAGGATCACTTTCCCCCCTCAATTTGTTGATATAATAAATTATGTATTAACTCTCCTGATATTAGAAACATCTTAGCATTTCTGAAAAAAGAATTTGTATATGACTATGGAGTATTATTATTCCTTTGATGTTTTGCTAAACTTTATTTGTTAAGATTTCATCTACATTTTTAAAATTTTTTTTTCTTTATTGATTTTAGAGGGAGAGGAAAATAGAAGGAGAGAGAGATAGAAACACCGATGAGGGAGAACATTTATTGGATGCCTCCTGCATGCCCCCCACTGGGGATCGTGCCCACAACCTGGGCATGTGCCCTGACCAGGAATTGAACCCACGACCTCTTGGTGCATGGGTCGACACTCAACCACTGAGCCACACCGGCTGGGCTCATTTACATTTCTTTCAACTATATTCATAAATGAGATTGGTTCATGGCTTTCTTTTTTAATGTAATAGGTTAGTATTACGTTCATGTGCATAAGAATTGAGAAGGCTTCCATATTTCAGAACTGTCTGGAACAACATCAGAATTATTTGGAATTCCT